AGCGACTGAGCGACTAAGCGACTAAGCGATTAAGCGACTAAGCGACATGTTAATAATAATACAAGATAATAATAATAATAATATTCTAAGATAATTAATAAATAATAAAATAATAAACTAATAATAAATTCGTTCTATAACAATATCAATAATTATAAATTATCTTCCATTGCAAATATAGATAAAACATCCATATACTTTGACATAGTTGGCACCCTTTCTGTAGATTATTGTTCAGCAAAGACCGTTTAAATAAGAACTACAGGCAATGAAAAGAATCAATTTATATGTATTCTTGCAATCTTAGCTAATGGAATTAAACTCCTTCCAATGGTAATTTTTAAAGGCAAAAGACTTCCTAGAGGTAACTTTTCTTTAGGTGTCATTATTAAAATGCAAAAAAATAAGTAGATAGATGAAAATATAATGCAAAAATAGTTGGATAAAGTATGCTGCAAAAGATTCTCAACACATAAACAAAAATGTAGCTTATTAGTAATGGATTCCTTTGATAGGCACTTTACAGATTCTGTTAAGAAAAAATGTAATGAATTGAACACGGTTAGAGATAATCCCTGGCAGATTTACTTCACTAGTTCAGCCTCTTGATATATATATTAACAAGCTATTTAAAGACTGAATGCATGAAAAATAGCAAAATTAGATAGTGCTTGGTAGCTTTAAGTTTATAAAAGAGGGAAATTTAAAAAGACCTCTGTATAATCTTATTTGCCAATAGATAGTTGAAGTATGAAATTATATTTGGCTGATATAGTCGTTAATTCATTTAAAAAATATAGTATTTCTGATAGTATTGAAAAGTTAGAAAAACAAGTGATAGTTCTAGCTGAAGATATAAAAAACCTTCTGATTTCAATTGTTTATGTGGAAAATTCAGAGAATTTGCCTGAGCACTGGTTAGTAGTTATTTCTTGTTGGTTAAAAAAACTAATCTAATCTATTATTTTTATTATTAGAAATATAATAGTGTTGAATAATGTATGTTTTAGTGAAATATCTACAATAACATACCGTAGGTTTCCGAAAATAAGCTACTCTTTTTTGGCCAAAAAGTTACACAAAAATCCCGGGATAGCTTATTTTTGGGTAAAATTTCGAAAAGGTTGATTTTTATTATTTTTTAAAATTCGAAAGTAGTTTCTATATATAAAAGTCAAAATTCTATTAAGTAAATCGATGAAAGTCACTTAATAGGAGTTGTTCAG